CGCGTTGTTGTTGTTGGAGAGATACACTAGAAATTAGAAACTCATATTCAACTTTACTCTAGAGTGAGAGTCCTGGGCCTTCTTTTCGTCTGCTACCAGTAGTGTGTTTCACGTTGGAGTATCTTATCTATGCGTATACGCCGGCAGCAGCTGTTGTTGTGTAGCAGGCCTTACCTAGAGCAGACGCTGGACGTGGTCTCGCCAGATGGCGGACACACAGATTTTGGATATGACAGATGGCTGAGCACAATTCTCAATCTGAATGCGTGACTCAGAGGTTACTCTAGCACAGATTAACACGCAACAGACCTCTATCTGGTTCTCATCTTTAGCATGCTCGTTTCGTATGCGATGGTTTCCTTCAGAAAGTATCGCACCGTGTGATTGTTGTAGGCACATGTATGTCGACCTTTACAGTGTCAACACCTCATCCAATTAACTCAACATTTTACATTAAACGTTAAGGACATCGTCCGACAGAGGCAATTTAGTGGAAGAAACTACTTTCAACGCAATGAGACCATACTTTTTTCTGTAAATCGAGTAACGGATTTCTGACGCTAACTCTTATATTCTATCCGTTGTTTTATCGTATATAACGAAGCGACGTTTAGGAATAAAATTGTCTGTAACATGCCATTGCAGTTTGCTGGACATTTTAAGCGATTTCCATAGGGTGCGTCATTTGGTAGTATTTGTACAGTGAGAGGAGGAGAGAGAAAGAGAGGAGAAGCAGAGAGAGGAGAAAGCAAGGAGAGAGAGAGAGAGGTGAGAGAGAGAGAGAGGAGAAAGAGAGAAGCGCAAGAGAGAGAGAAGAGGTTGAGAGAGAAACGCTGAAAAGAGAGCGATGAGGAGAGAGGACGGCATGAGCTGAGAAAGACAGCAGAGACACAAATCCTGCACGTATGTGTATGGCTATGTGTTGCATGTGTGTGGCGGGGGCGGTGGACAGGCGCACGAGGGGGCGCTACCTCTAGGTACGCACTGATGGTCATGTGCGTGTATGTGCGCGTGTATGTATGTGTGTATGTATGTGTGTATGTATGTGTATGCGCACGAGGGAGTCCTCTAGGAGCACTGCATGGTCTGTGCACGTGTATGTGCGCATTTTGTATGTGTGTATTGTACGTGTGTGTGTATGTTGTATTGCGCAGAGGTGGCGCGACTCTAGGGTACGCCCTTGATGGTATGTGCACGGGGTTGTATGTGCGTGGGTATGTACGTGTGTATGTATGTATGTTCTGTAGGGTGTATGTATGTTGGTATTGCGCACGGAGGGCGTCTCTAAGGTACGCGCTGATGGTATATGCACGTGCCTCGCGCTCGCTGCTGATGCGGTTGCATGGTGGGTTGTGCAGAGAGCTGTCACGCCGAGCTCGAGCGGAGAACGTTCCTGCCAGCGGAAACGCAGTTCGGTAGACGCGGATCGCATCGCTTGCTGCGGGCGGAAACACAAGGCCGCGTTGTTGTTACGTGGGTGCCACCGCAAGCAGCGGCGGCAGCACGGTGCAAGGCGGGAGGAGGAGAGAGGCTCTGAGAGCGGCATGGCGTCTCTAATGATGCTGCTATATACCTGTCATGCTGTAGATCGGTGTATTAGAATTAGTTAATTAGTTAATTAGTCAATAGTAATTGAATTCAGTAGGAATTTGACCGATGTATTTGGCGACTTAGTGCCAAGCGTCACTTTAGGTCAGTGTGGATGTTAGTACATTAGAGCTACGCATATTACAGGGGCGCGGGTTGGTCGAAAAAAGATTAGTCTTAATCATTACCTTGACTTTAATTTATGTAACTTTTAGAAGTTTTGCATGGCTCTCAGCGTCATACCTGATAATTAAGATTATTGGTCAAGGTAGCTATTAATCTTATCGTAGGAATGGCGTTTATAGTCAAGCCAGAATGAATTAGGTGTGGTTGCATGGCATTTAGTAAAAGCAACGTGTTAATGCAGTTTCCTATACGTAAAAATTTGCCTGTTAAATTGCTTACAACCATATGATGGTAATAAGTGTAGAATGGTAAGGAACACCATGTTATGAGCTATTGATCATTGGACAAGGCCACCACAGAGCCGTCCTGCAACACGTGGATAATATAAACAAACACACGATCGTATTGCAATCTATTAAACTAATAAATTTGCTATGAAAAGATGGCTGCGAAGAACTACTTAGGAGGTTTTACGCACCCAAGTTGTTATGTGTAATTCTACGGCATGCAAGACCGCCATGTTTGCTAAGGTTGTATGCAAATGTGACGCTACGATGCGAGTATTTTGACTTGAGACGGACGACGGCCAAAAGTTTAGGTACGTCCGTTGCATGTTGCGAAACGAATTTCCCCTGAATATTAGCGTTATCGCTTCAACTTTAGAAGAAGCTCCTATGCGATCTTAAACTGAAATCCGAACTTGCAGCGTTCTGTTCATGACAATTGTTTTATCATTCAAAACATCGATCACCGATAATCCGCATCCTCTCCTCTACACCGATCAATTAGATTAACAGAATTTCTGGAGGTGTTACCGGACTTACGTAATGTATACCTATGTAGAAACGATATATGATTGCACATGCCGGTCGTAGTTTGTGGGTCACAGCGTCATCGATCTAGCAAGGGCTCCGCTGCGAGTCCCTAACTTGGCGTGCAGCCCCGCCAAACTTGGCCGCTGGCATTCGCACCGCCCACATGGGCGTGCATCGACCGCCCAAACATGGCCGCTGATCTCCGCAAAACATGGCCGCTGCATTGCCGCCACAACATGCTGCTGCCATCGCGCCAAACATTGGCCGCTGCATCGCACCGCACAACATGGCCGCTGCATCCCACTGCTGCTGTGCTAGTGTGTTTCCAGAGTCGCAGCGGGTGGACTAATTCTTTTTTTTTTTTTTTTTTTCATAGAGACGAAGAAATCATATTTACAGGAGGTACTCTCGTCGGCACGGCAGTGGAACGTTTCTGCCGACATGGAGTTTCAGTCAGACTCGGTAGATGTCGTTCAGTCCTCAATCCGGCTTGTTAGGTGCGCTGACGCACACGCACGCGCGGTTACACAATTTGTTCAACGCTTCACGTGGAGTGAGCACTATTGTGAATTACACGCCGCGCTGTTCAATCAATGTTCAACGCTAGTGGAGTGATGCACATATGTGCCATGACACGCCTCATGACACTGTCACGCTTAGGTGGGTGATGCACATTGTGACAATGCAGCACCGCTGTTTTGACCATGTCAGCTGCTTTGGAGTGATGGCAACATATGTACCAATGACAAGACCGAGGACAAATGTCAACGATCACGTGGGTTGCAAATATGTGACAATGACACGCACGCATGCTATGTCAACGTCAGTGGAGTGATGACCATATGTGATGTCCGTACACGATGCACAATGTCAACTCACGTGGTAGTGGGAAATATGTGAAACCATGAGCACCGATGACAATAATGTCACGCTCAGTGGAGTGATGACTATGTGGAGCAATGACAGCACACGGTGCAACAATGTCAACGCTGCACGTGGGTGATGAAACATATGTGACATGACACGCACGCCCGATGACAACAATTACGCTAGGTGGAGTGATGCCCATATGTGACAATATGCCCTGCCACGATGACATATACATGTCCTCGCTCACGTGGAGTGATGCAATATGTGCCCATGCTGCAACGATGCACAATTGTCACGCTCCGTGGAAGTGATTTGGCACATATGGTGACATGACACGACATTGGATGACACATGTCAATCGCTCCTGGAACGTGATGAACCAACTACATGAAGTTTCAATGTACCCAAGTTCCTGAGTGACGCACTGCCAGAGTGACACTTGGGACAACGACTATCGCTCTACGGTCACAGTCACTGGTCATCAAATGTTACGGTCACACGGTCACGGTACAGGTCACGGTCACAAGTCCGGGTCCAAGCTCACGATCACACGCTCATTGGTCACAAGGTTCATGTCGCTCACGGTCACGAATTGGTCTATGGTACAGAGCTCACGGTCCAAGGTCACCGAGCCTCGCTCACGATTGACAGGCTCTGATGTCCGTGTCCAGAGAGATCCGGTTCGTCTCGTGTGCGACGCAGATGGCCGATCCTCCGCTGCTGTCCCTGATGGCAGGAGTGCGCGGCGGGCTGGTCCTCACGTGGGTCAACGCGGTGCAGGTACCTGTAACAGTCGCACGTCGTTGGGTCCTCATCACTCCTCACGCAACTGCACCGGGTACTCACTCACTCCTCACTTCAACAACACTGCGCCGGGGTCATTCACTCTCCAACACTGCGTCGGGACATGTCAGCGTAAACCCACCCACGTTAAACGGCGTGTCTCCTGGCTAGACAACTGGAATATTCGTCGTCATCGACACGTACACCTGATTGTAATGGACACAAGTACGAGGCTTACACTAGCGCGAACTAAAGGGCTACCCTAACTCTCCTATGACTCACCAGGGTATCTTTTATTGGTTTTGTATGATATCGACATCGATGATCTTCTAGATTAGATCGATCATAAATCGGGTCATAATCGTATGAAGCGTTCTTGTGGAGAAACTGTATTCAGATAAACGTAGCTGATGAAATCTCAAATGAATCTTTCATAGGCTAGCTGACAGTTTCGATAATCTACGGGCTAAGTATGAATTTTCACCGGAGACATTCGAGGGTCGAACAGTTATAGCGATCGCAAGCAGTCCGACAATCACAGTAGACGGATGCTGGGCGAGCGACGCGAGCTACGTCGGTACTTACTCTCGTTAGGGGCCAGTCACAGATCCTCGACCGACGAGCAGGTCGGTACTTGGAGTAGATGTTCCTTTTGCTGGGTCTGTAGGGGTCCGATCTTAGGTGAGCGCACGGCTGTGATGATCGGCAGTACGATGGGAACTGTCTTAGGTGGCGCCCAACGTTTGCTGTCTTCGGACAGAAGTATACGCCCGCACGCATGCTGATGGACTACACGCACGCATGGTGGACATACGCCGCAACGCTTGGATGGCTACGGCATGCACGCCTGGTGGACATCGCCGCACGCATGATGGATGGACTATTACCAGTTCATGATGGATTGGCATACGACGCCGCTGGATTTGGATGGTCATACGTGTTGACATTGTTGTCATTGTGTGCGTGTCATTGTCACATAGGTTGCATCACTTCACGTGAGCGTTGACATTGTTGTCATTGTGTGCGTGTCATTGTCACATATGTTGCATCACTCCACGTGAGCGTTGACATTGTTGTCATCGTGTGCGTGTCATTGTCACATATGTTGCATCACTCCACGTGAGCGTTGACATTGTTGTCATCGTGTGCGTGTCATTGTCACATATGTTGCGTCACTCCACGTGAGCGTTGACATTGTTGTAACCGCGCGTGCGTGTGTCGTTTCAGGTCGCATCCGTAACAAGCCGGAGTGTGATGACTTTGACGACTTCTACGATGTTCTATCGCTGAACGTCATGTCGGCAGAAACGTTCCAGCTGCCGTGCGACGAGAGGTACCCACTGTAAATATTGATTTTCTGTCGTCTCTAGAATTAGTGCCCCCGCGTGCGACTCTGGAAACATGTGCAATGCAGCGGCCATGTTTGTGGCGGTGCGATGCAGCGGCCATGTTTGTGGCGGTGCGATGCAGCGGCCATGTTTGTGGCGGTGCGATGCAGCGGCCATGTTAGTGGCGGGGCTGCAGCGGCCATGTTTGTGGCGGGGCTGCAGCGGCCATGTTTGTAGGGACGCGCGCGGGGCCCTTTTGCTAGGAATCGATGGACGCTGTGACCAACAACTACGATTCCGGCATTTTTTGGCAAATCTATATTTCGTTTTATACATATTTTTACTATTATCGTAGGTCTGGTAACAACCTCCAGAAATTCTGTTTATATCTATTGTATATCATTGTAGAGAGGATGCGTGATGTATCGGTGGATCGATTGTGTTTTTGAATGATAAAACAATTGTCAGTTGAAGAAACGCTGCAGTTCTGATTTCAGTTTTAGCTCGCATAGTATTTCTGTTCTTCTCAGTTGAAGCGATAACGCTATATGTGCGAAGGGAAATCTTAGGTTGCGTCAGCATTTGCAAGCGTGTACTACCTAGGTTCTGCGGTGCGTTCTCTCTCAGTCTAAATACTCTGCATGCGTATGTCTGTCACATGTTTGCTATACTAACCTTGAGCAAACATGGCGGGTCTTGTTCATGGCATGTAGAGTTACACGATTAACAACTTGGGTGCGTAACATCCCAAGGTTGATGTTCTTCGTCAGCCATGTTTTATAGCTAATAGTGTTATAGTTTAATAGATTGCATACGTCGTTGTGCTTTGTTTATAGTATACTTGTGTTCAGTGGAGCTCTGTGTGTGCCTTGGGTCTCAATGGATGCAATAGCTCATAACATTGGTGTTCTTTACATTCGTACACTTATTACGTATCATGATGTGTTGTAAAGCAATGTTAACTAGGCAAATGATCGTTATATGAAATGGCATTTAACAGTTGGCTTTTACTAAATGCTCATGTAACCAACTAATTCTATTCTGTATTGATCTATAACACGCCATTCCTACGGATAATATTATTAGCTATCCCTTGACCAATAATTTCTTAAGTTTATCAGTTATGTACCTGGGGCCCGTTGTCAGAAACTTCGTAAAGTTACGATTAATTTTAAGTCTAAGGTTAATGTTAAGACTAATTTTTTTCTGACAACGGGCCCCTGGTATATTGCGTAGCTCTAATGTACCAACACCAGCACTGACCTTAAGTGACCTTGTCACTAAGTCGCTCAAATACCATCGGGGTGCATATTCCGTACGTGAATTCTAATTTACTATTGCTAATTAACTAATTTACGAATTCTAATTAACACCGATCTTACCAGCATGACAGTGTATAGAGCATGCATCATTGAGACTGCCATGGCCGCTCTCAGAGCCTCTCTCTCTCTCTCTCTCTTGCACGTGGCTGCCTGCCGTTTGCTTGCGTGTGTGCACACACGGTAACAACAACGCGTGTCTTGTGTTTTCCGCCCGCAGCAGCGATGTCGATCCGCGTCTACGACGTGCGTTTCCTGGTTGCAGGACGTTCTTCCGCTTCGAGGCTGCGTGGGACAGCTCTCTGCACAACTCCACCTTGCTCAATCGCATCACAGCGAGCGGCGAGCACGTGCATATGACCATCAGTGCATGCGTGCGTGTGCGTATATCTTCTGTCCGTGTAATTACAGCAACGTTCGCCCGCCACCTAAGAACATCTTCCCATCGTACCTGCCGATCTCACAGCCGGTGCGCTCACCTAAGATCGGACCTCTACAGACGCCCAGCAACAACGGAACCATCTACTCCAAGTACGACCTGCTCGTCTGGTTCGAGATCTGTGAGCTGGCGCCTAACGGAGAGTAAGTACCTGACGCTAGTCTCGCGATCGTCGCCCGCATCGTCTGACTGTGATTTTGTCGGTGACTGCGTTGCGATCGCTATAACTGGTTCGACTCTCTCGAATGTCTCGGGTGAAATTATCGTAGCCCGTAGTTATTCTGTAGGAGCTGTCAGCTAGTTCCTTATGTGAAATGATTCCATTTGAGATTTATAGCTATCGTGTTATTTCTGAATTACTAGTTCTCACAGAGAACCTTCAGACTAGTTGATGATCCCGATTTATGAGCGTATTCTATCTAGAAGTATAATTCGGATGTCGATCATGCATAATTCAGAACACAATTACGAGGATCCTGGTTTGATTCCTAGGAGAGTTAGGGTTAGGCCTTGTATTTCGCGTCTAGTTGTTAGAGCTCGTAGCTTGTGTTCGCATTACGATCAGTTGTATCGTGTTCGATGATCGGGATGCGAAATATTCTCAGGTTGTCTAGCCAGGTAGACGACGCGTTTAACGTTGGTTTGGTGTGTTACCGCTGACATTGTCCCGACGCAGTGTTGTGAGTGAGTGAATGACCCCGGCGCAGTGTTGTGAGTGAGTGAGTGAGTGAGTGACCCCGGCGCAGTGTTGTGAGTGAGTGAGTGAGTGACCACGACGTGCGACTGTTACAGGTACCTGCCAGCTCTCGTTGACCACGTGAGGGACCAGCCCGGCCGCGGCACGTTCCTGCTGCATCATGGGATACAGCGGAGGATCGCCATCTGCGTCGCACACGAGACGGGACCGGATCTCGTCTGGACGGACATCAAGGAGCTGGTCATCGGTGAGCGAGGCGTTCGTGTGACCTTGTGACCGTGAGCTTGTGACCGTGACCTTGTGACCGTGACCTTGTGACCGTGAGCTTGTGACCGTGACCTTGTGACCGTGAGCTTGTGACCGTGACCTTGTGACCGTGACCTTGTGACTGTGACCTTGTGATGTGACCGTGACTTTGTGATCGTGAGCTTGTGACCGTGACCTTGTGACCGTGAGCTTGTGATCGTGACCTTGTGACCGTGAGCTTGTGACTGTGACCTTGTGATCGTGAGCTTGTGACCGTGACCTTGTGATCGTGAGTGCGCGCGTCGTTGTCACAAGTGTCACTCTGTGGCAGTGCGTCACTCACGTGTATCTTTGTGTGTACATGTGAAACTTTCATGTATGTTGGTTTCATCCCGTTCCAGGAGCGCTGACATTGTTGTCATTGTGTGCGTGTCATTGTCACATATGTTGCATCACTCCACGTGAGCGTTGACATTGTTGTCATTGTGTGCGTGTCATTGTCACATATGTTGCATCACTCCACGTGAGCGTTGACATTGTTGTCATCGTGTGCAGTGTCAATTGTCACATATTTGCAGTCACTCCAGCCATGAGCGTTGACATTGTTTGTCAATGCGTGTGCGTGTCATTGTCACATATGTTTCATCCAACTCCCCACTGAGCGTTGACATTGTTGGTCACCGTGTGCGTGTCCATTGTCACATATGTTTCATCACTCCAACGTGAGCGTTGAAACAGGATTTATTGTATCGTGTGCGTGTCTAATTGTCAAGCATATGTTCATCACTCCCTGAGCGTGACAATTGTTGTCATCGTGTGCGTGTCATTTGTCACATATGTTCCATTGCACTCCACGTAGCGTTGACATTATTTGTCATCGTTGTCGCCGTGTCATTGTCACATATGTTGCATCACTTCCACGTGAGGCGTTTGACATTGTTGTCATCGTGTGCCGTGTCATGTGTCACCACCCGCCAACCCGCCCATTTTTTTAGTTGCAATCACTCCACGTGAGCGTTGACATTGTTGTAAACAGTCGTGTGGCGTGTCATTGTCACATATGTTGGCATCACTCCCACCCTGAGCGTTGAACATTGTTGTCATTGTGTCGTGTCATTGTCACATATGTTGGAATCATCCAGCGTGAGCGTTGACATTGTTGTATACAGCGCGTGCAGTGTAAATTGTCACATTGTTGCGTCAACTTATTTGCCAGTGAGCGTTGACATTGTATGTTGTAACACGCGCGTGCGTGTGTCTTTCAGGCAGGTCGCATCCTGTGAACAGCCGGAGTGGTGATGACGTTTGACGACTTCTACGATGTTTTCTGGTTCGCTGAACGTCATGTCGGCAGAAAACGTTCGCAGCTGCCGTGCGACGAGAGGTCCCCAACTGTAAATATTGATTTTGCTGTCGTCTCTCAGAATTAGTGCCCCGCGGCGACTCTGGACAAACATGAAGCAATGCAGCAGTGTGATGCAGCGGCCATGTTTGTTGGCGGTGCGATGGCAGCGGCCATGTTTGTGGCGGTTGGCGAATGCAGCGGCCATGTTTGTGGCGGTGCCAATGCGCGGCCATGTTTGTGGCGGTGCGACATGCAGCGGCATGTTTGTTGGCGGTGCGATGCAGCGGACCGCATGTTTGTGGCGGTGCGATGCAGCGGCTCATGTTTGTGGCGGGGAGCTGCAGCGTGCCATCGTTTGTAGGGGAAACGCCGCGCGGGCCCTTTTGCTAGAATCGATGGACGCGTGTGACCGAACAACTACGATTCCGGCATTTTTTGGCAAAATCTATATTTCGTTTTTAATACATATTTTACTATTATCGTAGGCTCTGGTAACAACCTCCCAGAAATTGTTTTATATGCGATTGTAAATCGGTAGAGAGGATGCGTGATGTATCGGTGGATTTTCGATTGGTTTTTTTGAAAATGATAAAACAATTGTCAGTTGAAGAAAACGCGGCAGTTCTGAAATTTCAGTTTTAGATTCGCATAGTATTTCTGTTCTTCTCAG